CCCGTTGGCGAATGTTTTCGTCTCTGGTCAACCAATCAGCTCTGTAGTAGTCGGTTACAACCAAATACAAAAAGTATAGGCCCCGCCCACAAAGCCACGATGGGCCTGCTATTTGTCCGTGAGAGACATTCGTACCGTAAGTACTCTGTTTCATCTGTTGCGAACACTACGCATATTAAAAGCGAATTATTTATTTTAGGGGCAAAGCTCCTTGTAGCGGCACCCGTTCGTCCCTCGTGGCCGTAGTAGTAGTGTGTAACAAGTATCACTTTTTCACCTTCAAGGTGGTGCCGGTGAGAGATTTATTCTGTGCGTTGTTGAACAATAAAAAGACAGTGCTCAATGTACATGCCAATGGCTGCTACGGGGGAATGAAAGACAGGAGAATTCGGCTTTTAGTTAACGCGCACGCTGCGAATTTTTTATTGTTCAACAACGCACAGGAGACAAGAAAGGGTTGCTACGTTATACTCGCTGGGCGTAGCCTCCTAGGTTTTGGAAAGGTTTAGCGAGCGTTGGGCCGCAGCGCCATAAATACAGTGAACTAGTATATACCATGAACTCGAGGTGGTTAAAGGTGGGAAGTAGACACGAAGCGCAAGCCGTAAGAAAGTAAAAGCCGAATTCTCCTGTCTTTCATTTTTCATTGGCAGCCATTGGCATGTACATTGAGCACTATCTAACAGGAAAAGGTTGCTATATACGTTATACTCGCTGGGCGTAACCTCCTTAGTTTTAGAAAGGTTTAGCGAGCGTTGGGTCGCAGTGCCATGAATACAGTGAACTAGTATATACCATGAACTCGAGGTGGTTAAAGGTGGGAAGTAGACACGAAGCGCAAGCCGTAAATAAGTGTGCGTGTGCCTCCTCTCGTTTAGTCGTTAAAATGTCCGATGGATGGCGGTGCTTCTATATGAGGAATATATGATGAAAAGATGCGAGATGGTGGTACTCGGAGTGTTGAATAGATGGACGAACGGACACACAGACAGATGCATGGATGGACGCACGGATGGCTACACGGAAGGATGGACGCATGGACGGACGCAGGAGCGGATGTATATACAAAAGCAGGGACGGACGCACAGAATAACGTGCGGACGCACGAACAGACGCACGCACGGACGGGCGGATGGACGCACGGGCGGCCACCCATATGCACGCATGGATGGACGGAAGCAAGAACGAATGGACGGACGGATGCTTCGCCCCACTATCCATCATACACTCCGTGGATATGCTGCCATTATTTTTTTATGTCGGCAAAACAAAAAAGAAATTGTCCGGATTGCTGCGTGCTTCGAGGCAAACGTCGTCGAAAGACGACCGACACTTCTGCAGGCCTTCTTTCGTGCGCAGCGTCGCATTTTCAGTGTGGCCTAAGAGATCCTAGGGTCTTAAGAATTACGTATCTATGTATTGTCGTATAAAGGAACGCACCGCCTAATACTTAAGTATTGTATTTGTGCCTCAGATATGCGTAATATTTGCTCTTTGGTCGACAATGTTCTTCAGTATGAACGCAGCCACTAGCTCAAGATGGCTGAGCGTTCAGCAAGTGCTTAAGCCAAGTGGTTGATTCGTGCGGCCGCCAGTAAATAAAGCTTTCGTGTTCTTGTGTTGAGGCTCACGGGACGGCTTTAAGCTCTCCCATAGTAGAGCATTAAGTGCTCTAAATCGCTAACCAAATTTTCTAAACACATGAATTTCTGTCTACGCAGCCTCATCTTGAAATGTGAGGCCCATAGTACAGTACTGATAGTACTCTAAATCGTTAACCACTTTTTTTAACACATACACAAGACAATTCGATGACTGTGACTTGTACTCTTACGCGCATACGGAGGACTTTTTCAATCTCCAATACGAGAACGCTGGTCTGTGAAAGACTAATAGTACCACGCCGTAATTTTTGTCAACAGGGCCTCAACAAGTGCGAGGCCCTTGAGACGGCTTTACGTTCTCCCATAGTAGAGTACCAAGTACTCAAAATAGTTAACCACTTTTTCTTAACACACAATTATTACGAGAAAGACTATTGTTTTTCTTTAAAAAAAAAAACCCGCCTAGCCTGCGTTCACATTCAACACGTTCACATGGAAAGCTATAGAAGAGCGGCCTTTCTAGAAACGCTCTTGGGGCACCTGCTACAAGTATACTTGCATTCAATACGTCGTAAACCGTTGTAAGTTTTGCGCACGTGTGGAGGTGTCCACTGTGCGGGTACCCGTTACACATGTGCACCGTGTTCATGCTATGCCCGACGACGATGAACAGTTATGCCGAAGGCTTTTGTAATGCGTGTCAGCTTTCGCCAACCCACTCGTGACGCAATTACACTGTGTTACGCCTGGTTGTTACATTACCGCTCTGCTAAAAACGCTGTAGTTCATGCGTGTTAACGCGATTTCTTACCCGACATGAAGCCTGCATAGGATCAGTTTGCATGATTTATTACAAGGGGCACTAATTCTTATTCATTAGTTACAAAAAGTTTTGTTCGCAGTGCCGCATTCGTTCTATTTGGCTTTAAGTTTGGTGACAAACTTAAATGGCATGGCTACCTTGGCTACTTTTGGCTTCACTTCAGACTCCTTTTTCATGTCTATGGTCAACGGCAAGCCTGCTGTAAAGCTTCGTCTGTTGGTGAAACTTACATTTATTGTTATCTTCTAAGAGCATGTAGCAGGTCGTGTACGTCTTTTCGGACAATCGACTTCCCCATGCTATTGCCTCGTGTAGGGTAGAATACCGGTTATTGTGGACCGGTTAACCTCACCACCTTTTCTTTACCATTTATTTTTTGTACAATCGCGGAACCTGTCATGAGCGTTAGTGGCTTCTTCAACAGTTATAATCACAATTAACCGTCTTCCTGCTAAGCACTTTTAGAAATGCTCTAGAAATGGCGCCAGAAGTCATTATATTACTGACGGTAGCGCCCCTCCGCAACTTCGTTATGTACGAAACAGAATTCGCGATTTCTTTTTTTTTTTTCACGCTAATCCATATTGTCGCACATGAACAACGTTCGTTTTTACTGTACAGCTCCCATATGGTCGCTTTTGGCTGCCACCGAAACAATGGCACAGAATGTCATTATCCGTAGTTCAGTTTGAAGTTCCTTGAGGTCGTTCGTGTTCGGTCTTCCTTTCGTTAAGGTGGCTGTCAAATGTGACCTATTCGCGGCTGCACTTCCGATGGAGGCGGAAATGTTGCAGGCCCGTGTGCTCAGATTTAGGTGCATGTTAAAGAACCCCAGGTGGTTGAAATTTCTGAAGCCCTCCACTACCGCGTCTCTCATAATCATGGTGGTTTTGGGACGTTAAACCCCACATATCAATCAAAGGTGACCTATTCAGTTTAGCATCAGGGTGGACGTCATTGTCGTGACTGTGGTGAAAATGTCTTAACTAGAATGACGCGGGTGTCTTTTATTTTTTTTTCTCGCATGCATGACAGGAGACAAACAAGCGCGATATAAGCATCAAGCTGGAACGTAAAAGTCAATGCAAGGTAGATTTTATCGTATTTCCTTAAACGTGCGGCCTTGTCTGTTTATGCCACGGTATACAGAAAATGGGGGTCGACGAAAATGCTAGGCTTTTTTTTTTAAGTGGCAGTTCTTTTTTTAAGTGGCAGTTCAAGAAAAGGGGCACACGCACGCACGTACAAAACAAAAACGAAAATGCCAGTAGTTTTGGAACATATAGAAGAGAGACCAAATTTTGCAAGCTGCCGAATACCGACAACCCTACAATCTGCTAATGCAACAGAGGCCACAGAAAGCACTTATCTAAAATCACCAACAGAGTAGAAGGTGCATCGTGGCTGATAAGCCCGAATTTCGAGGAGCTATGTAGTTGGTTAACATAGCTCTAGGCTATCAGCTCTAACTCTCGGCTGTTTAGATAGAGGCGGCAGCCCATCTCCGGCCGTTAACAGCATGCACTGTCTAAGAAGTACATTTTTTCCCCTCTGTTGTCGTATACTGCGACAGTGTTCGGATAACAGATGAACTTTGCCAGGACTCGGCATTTCTTCGATTCCCAATGGTGCGAAGTTTATTCAAAAGCGAGTCGAGAGGTGGCCTTTTGGCACTTCAGAAAGAGCAGATGCTTGTTTTCGACGCTTGCTGTCTTCCTGCACCTACCATCAAACAATTGTCCTCCCGCCCGGTAGAAAAGAAGGTTGGACTGTGTGGTTCGGCGAAGAACTTTACTGTCTTCGTGTAGTCATACACTGAGCTTCCTCGCATCCCCCAAACGAGGGTAAGGTTGGAAAGGTGTGCTCCGTGTCTGATCAGTAATAGAGTTTCGCTCGCTGCTATTTAAGATAAGTTCGAGTCAAACGCACCTTTTTTTTTCTTTTCGTTAAGTCTGCTGGGAATCGCGCCTATCTTACTTACCGGCTTGCTCGGACTTAAAGGCCACATCCGTTCCAACCAAAGGTAAGCTCGAGTTTTTACCCTGTCTTGAGCGAGTGCCAATTTCCGATCGGCAACAGCGGTACGACAGGACAGACCGATGTGCTAGTTAGTATTAATTAATTCACGCATAGCGCCAAGAATTACGTGGATGCTGAAGTAGCAGCACGGGGCATAGCGCTAACAGCTGAACGTTTATTTAACTTGATGTATACACCAACGTGCAGAGAGAAAAAAAAATAAGGTGGTACTCAGACGTATCCAGTTTTAGCCGCGAGAAAAAAAAAAGAACACTACACAGGTAAGGGTGCAGCTAATCACTCTTTCTGACAATCGGCCGTGTACATGCGTGAACAAAACGTGCCTTCGTTTGAAGTAGTTGCAGATTTGCGTGGACGTGGAAGCAGCACTGCGGCACTTTTCTAAGTATTCATCGAATGATTTCATAAAGTAGCTTTGTTGTATCTTAGGAACTGACAGCCCGCAACAAGTTCTAGAGTTCTACTACTATAGCCGAGGTTCAGAGATTGGTCGCACGTTGTACTTGTTTGTTTGTTTTGGCTACTTTCTCGACATGACGAGCGTGCTGGAAGCTAAACAGGGATCTGTCAGTCAGTCAACAAAGTTTATTCGGGTTCTAAAGAACAACCGAGTCGTAGTTGAGGGCCGCGCCCACGTTGGGGCCGAAAGACCATGATCCTACACCCGTTCGCGGACTCTTTGGACAGCCCTTAGTTGTTCATGGAGATCGCCGCCTTTGAGGTCTTCTTCCCAGTTAATTGTTTTTTAAAAGATGCTTTATTGTAACGCCGCATGTGCGCTAGTGAACGATATTCTTCAGCAACGACAAAATAAACATACACGTGTCGTACCATTGAAATACTCAGATTATTTGGGGGACAAAGACATTCTGAATTTCCGACTGAACCTGTCTAAGATGTGTTTCTCACCGAAGATATAACCGTAAGGGCGAATAGGAAGTGGAAGCGAGAAGTGAATAAAAAGACTGGATGCGAGATCTTACGCAATTAAGATGCTCAAGTCGACTAAGAGACTGAGAAAGTACGACGAATCTTGCACGATTACTGAAAAACAAACGTGCTTTGTTACTTACGTTTTTTGTTACGTTATTTCCTGCTGTAAAACATCGGTGTAGTTCTTGTAGTTTGCCGATGTCATCTCGCCCTGTATTTCACACGAGTGTTTCTTTATGTCAGGCCTGGCGAAGGACTTGGCGACGTCATTTCCGTGACGGACAGTACACGTGTCACGGTAATGACGTCGTAAGCTTCCACTGGGGTAGGCACAAAATACATACGTGTGAACAACTACATAAAGCGACGAGGATGAGGACGTGTAAATGGCAGCCAAAAGCGGACTTCCCTTTTTGTTCATAGCACTGTCGTCTCCAGCATTAAGCGCGAGGTTGTCGGTTCGACTGCAACCATGCAGTTGAGATGTGCGTGATTTTTCTTGAATGCGCATACGGTATTACGGAGGTAGTGTAAAGTGGCAATACGGGGCCCTCCTCTGCGTTGTCGATCATCGTCCCTATACGTGCCTCAAAACCAAAGACGTGGCGAGCATTGTGTACGTTTCACTAATTCGTCCTAGGAATTTCAGCAAAGCTACAGTTGGACACAGCTGAGTGTTCACTCTCGGAGTCCTCACGTCTCCATTATTGAAAACGTTGTTTTTCGAAAAAACTGTATCAAGACATGTTCCTAAAGAAGCTGAAAGCTGGGTGATTTTACAGCGCCTTAGACAGTGCGAAAAGTTACCCCAATATCTAGTGATACTAGGATATAAAATGCCTCACCGTTAGGCTGCTGAGCCTTTTTTCAATACGGCGAAGATATCAAAGAAAATTTCAGTGAACCACATCTTGCGCTCTTGGAATTATGGAGCTGAGCCCCCAGCGCTGAGTGACCGGCAATCCGCCCTGAACAACATCGATCCCCGTTGTACATGTGTGCACTAGTGTGCCTGTTCGTGCCTGTGTGGGTGGGTGGAGCGGGGCGAGGGAGGAGAAGAAACTGGGCTTCTCCCGTGATAAGGTCGGGCTTTGTGAATGTCTGAGGCCCGAATACCTGCGGTTTCCACGGCGTAAGCCTCCTTTCGGGGGCTTACTGGCCGTGAACCGTCTTGGAATGGAAAGAATCCGTATTTGCGGAGGGCGAACATGGCTTCCCAAGCAGCAACGTATGCGATTGAGCGTTATACTGTCCTACACCGCGCCTTTTCATCACCCCTCTTTCGTCATGTTTTGTGGCACTGGCTACTACATTTCGAAAGTAGCCGCACGGATGCTGGACCGAATCATTTTGCTCAGCTGGGCAGTATAGCGGCGTGACTTGCTCTTTATTTCAACCTCTTTCATATAAATCATGCCGATAATACTGTACCTCTTTTATATATTCATAAAGAAAACGGGCTTGGCGTCGCGTTTATATACATTTTTCAAGTGACTATTTATTTGTGTTTGCGTGTCTGTGATTCTTTCCTTTTTTTACTTTTTTCAATCCTCTTTTCCTTCCTGATTGATTGATTTGTGGGGTTTAACGTCCCAAAACCACCCATATGATTATGAGAGACGCCGTAGTGGAGGACTCCGGAAATTTTGACCACCTGGGGTTCTTTTACGTGCGCCCAAATCTGAGCACACGGGCCTACGACATTTCCGCCTCCATCGGAAATGCAGCCGCCACCTCTTTTCCTTCCTCCTGCCTTACTTTCCTCTATGTATCCCCTTCTTGAAGGAGCAGGCAGGCGTTGTGCCCCATTAAGTGGCAGTTTTCAACCTGTTTTCTTCCTATTTTTTCTGTGTTTTTGTGTTTTCTATGTACGCAAACCAAATAAATAAATAAGTAATTTTGTGTATTTGTTTTTTAGTCGTAGAAGATGAGCATTCACGTAGATATTGTCCAATGTCTGTTATGTAAGAGTTGGCGAGGTCGCGTCTATCATATATAACTGCCCTCTTTTTAACCACTTCGCCGAATGAACGTCGGACATTTCGCTATAACGGATCGCCAAAGGGAGCACATTATATAACTTTCATTTGTGTGGCTTTACGTGTGAGAATGCCGACATGATTATCAGGCCATTAGGCGTTTCAGCGGAGTGGGAGAGGAGGGGAGTGGCGGTGCTTTGGGTGGGCTATACCGAGTGCTCTTTAATGGGAGACGAAAGAGAAAGACAGTATTCCTTGTACGAATGTATTATCCTATCACAAATACCAAGAACACCACCCGCCTCGCGAGAAGACGCTTAATAATAAGCGAGGAAACGAACAAAAGGGAAAAATTGTGTGACGATCGCCATCCTTCGAGTTCCTGCACCAATCGCCAGCTCTGGTCATGTGTTGCTTTTTGTCACGATTTTCGATGCTCTTTCATATAGTTGGAGTAAACGATAGCCTCGTTGATTCGAGAAACGTTCGTCGATAATCAAAATTATCTTATTCGATCATTGGTTGCTTGGCTGGTTGGTTGATTCACTGATTGATTGGTTGGTCGATTGGCTGGTTGAATGATTGACGGAATAACTCGCGGATTGGCTGATTGGGTGATTGAGTGGTCGGTTGGGTGGTTGAAGGATTGACTGATTAACTCACTGATTGGCCGATTGAGTGATGAATGAGTGATTGATTGGTCGAATGTCTTGTTGAATGATTGAATGATTAACTCACTGATTGATTGATCGATTGATCGATCGCAGGAGCACCACCGGCTGTCCTGGCGCTGGAATTCGCCGGGCTCCACTGCCCGCGGGGCTCGGTGGTCAAGGTGGCTCCCTCGGCGGCCTCACGGGTGCCCCTGGGCTGGCCCGCCCGACTGCTCTGCCGAGGCGTCAAACTCAAGCAGCGGCTCGTCTCGGGCCTGCTGCTCGCCGCGTCGGCCATCCTCTTCCTCACCCTGGTGCGCATCACGGGCGTCCGGCAGCTGCCCCCGTTCGCGTCGCCGGCCCAGGGCTGGGTGCCCAGCCACAGCAAGGGAGCGGCCGGACAGTCGCCACTGCAGCCGGTGAGCGCGTGTTAATTCGCGGATTAATTCTCAGAATTTTCGCGGATTAATTCTGGTGCCGCCGTATTGGGCTTTATCCTTGCCATTTCGTGTCTTGCACAACTGAAGAGTTAATCCTGCAAACGGTTGGGATGGTGCATTCGACATTTCATGACGTTGCTAATTCACGTTGCGAAATGTATATATAGCAAGTGAGTGAGTGAGTGAATAAAGTTTGGTTGTTGTTTTTTTCTCGAGTGCGGCGTGTAGGGTAGAGTGTGGCGCCACTATATCCTAACGCGCTCCCGTCGCTATTTCGGGGAGAGGGTATAACCTTTGTCTGGCAGTCGTGCTAGGCCTCCGCTAGCTAAGAAAAAAAAAACATTCCTGTAACGGACCAAGCTCGGTCACTGTGAGCCTTACGGAATATCTTCTACTAGACAGACACAAATTGAAAACTGTGGACGACGGCCTGTGGGTGTGAACAGTACGAAATACTCGCAGTGGCAGGCGTAAACACGGGCGGTGTCGTCTAAATGAGGAAGCCGAATTTGGCTCCACTGTGTGCTTTACTGTGTTGTATCTTTTGCGTGATTGATTTATTATGATGTGAGTTAGATATGTTTCTATGACCATAATAGTAGTCTAAGATCGCAGATGTTGCATTCCAAGGGCAGTTTTTTTTTTTTCTTCCCACATTTGTCCCCGGAATTTGGGGGACCAATGACATACTGTTCAGAAAAACATGATCGATTCATTCATTTTTGTGTTTTCATTCAGTGCAGACCTTGTTTGCTTTCGCATTCGGCCTAAGAGGACGGGAGGGGGGAGGAGTCGCTTCGATGAATTGTGGCTCCCGTAATGGCTCTCGTAGAGTCCCGTAACGGAGTATTCAGTGGTACAGTTTAGCGGCCGAAGTGTGACGCCACTAAAGTATAGGACATTGTAGTTTCATTTCCGGGTACGCGGTGGACACCATTTCAACGAGGGCCAGACGTAATGCACCGGTGCGCTTCAATAATTATCAATTACTTTTTTTACAAAAAAAAAACAAAGGCCGCTTAAAAGTTGAGTTATCTTGCATGGATCGATCGTTAAAAAAATTGTATTACTGAGCATGCGCGGATGAGTTTTGTGTCCACTTCGTTTTCTATCGTAGTGAACAATCTTACTTGGTAGTTGGTGTTTGCGCTTGATTTTCAACTGTTGTTTAGTGGCCCAAACCAAGCGCTTCGTTTGATTCCGTGATGACCAACGTAGCGCTTGAACTGCTTCGCGTTGCCTCGTACGAAAAAAAAAAAAAACGCTGTTGGTTAACGACTGTTCTCGTGGCTCGCAGCCTTCCGGGCCCGATCCGTCGGGCGTTCTCGGCAAGCGACTCCTGACCAAGGCCTCCGTCGAAGGCGGTTCCAAGAGGACCGCCAGCGAAGCCGCGGGTGGGGCCGCAGGGGGCCAAGCGGACGTCGCGCAGCCGGGCTCGCAGGTCTCGTCTCGGGGTCCGCCCCCGGTGCTCAGTCGAAACAAGCCGTCGCCCGCAGCCAGGGGCTCCAAGAGGAGTGACCCCAGTGCGGGCAGCAATGCTCCCACTGCCAAGAAAGGACCCGGTAATGCCGCGTCTACGGGAAGCGCCGAGAACGAAGTGGTCGCCGACGCCGAGTCCCGGCAGAGGGCGCACGACCCGTTCGAAGACCTGGTCCACATCGCCTGGCCTCCGGCCGATCCAGTACGGGGCATCGTCAGGCCGAGGCGGTACAACCCGACGCTGGGACACATACTCCAGATCGAGACCAGGTGAGTGGGCTGTGCTAATATCGACAGCTATATAGCACAGAACATCATGTACCCGGCTCGACGCACTTCTCTGAAACAGTGGAACGGCGCGATTTTCGGCTGCACGCACGGCGTTTGGCGATTACACCCGGGTGGAACGTGTCCCAATTCTAGCAGGCACGGCTACTTAGTACGAGTGCTCAGGCGTAAGTTATTACACACTACCGGAGCTTGCTGGAACGCCCCGTAGTGCGCCGTTTTATGCAGCGTTCTAGACAACTCTGTTAACCTGTATTCGCGCCCTGCCATGGTGGTCTAGTGGTTAAGGTACTCGGCTGCTGACCCGCAGGTCGCGGGTCGAAATCCTGGCGGTGGTGGCTGCATTTCCGATGGAGGCGGGAATGTTGTAGGCCCGTGTGCTCAGATTTGGGTGCACGTTAAAGAACCCCAGGTGGTCGTAATTTCCGGAGTCTTCCACTACGACGTCTTGCATAATCATATGGTGGTTTTGGGACGTTAAACCTCACAAATCAATCAATCAGTAATGTGGAAAGTTGTTTAATTCAATGCGCATTCGCGACACTTTGCACCCCCACGGTTAGTCGGAAGGCACAACGCAGACGCTCACGTTAAACTCGGACGTAATTGGATGAAACGTAATGGTTGATCGTATACAAGCAAATCAATGAACTAATCATATGGTGGTTTTGGGATGTTAAACCCTACATATCAATCAATCAATCAATGAAATAAAATCAAGGAAATCAACGAAGGCATTGGCGAGGCCGGCGCAGGTTTCATTACCGCCAAAGTGACACGAATTCCGTCTTATCTGAAGCAACAACGTAAAATTTAACGCCAACTTGTTAACCTGGCTTGCTGTGAAGATTCCAAGGAGGACGTTCGGAAATTCATATATCGTTATCGATTTGCGCTACGAATCCCTGCCTAATGCAGACGGCGCCTGCCGTTTCATTGCGAAAAGGCCGCTCTTCCCCGCTGGGTTGATACGGGTTCGCTAATGAAACAAAATGTGGGCGCCAGTCCTTGTGCCTTCTGTGTAAACTTCGGTTTTTTGTTTTATCATTTTCGGTATTGTACATACGTGAAGGAGGGGGGTGCATTTGCATCGCTCTTAGAGATAATAAAAAGAGTCTGTACTCCTTCAAAATCGTGAACAGTATGAAAAGTAAAAGGTGAAAAAGTATGAAAAGAAACAGCGTGGTTATTTAAGCAAGATATGACGCGTGACCTACTAATATGACGTCTTGATTCTCAGCTGGTACTTTTCCACTTCCAAATTGTTTTCAATGTCAAGCTAATAAGTTCTTCCATCCTGCTCCTGTTGTAGGGTAGCAAACCGGATGTCCTCGCCAGCTGCGATTTGTCACTAAGGCCTTTTAGGCTTTCGGCGTTCCCTTTCACATTGTTTCTGACTGTACTTGCCTTTTTTTTTTCATTCCATGTGCCACCAGCAACAACATGACCAGCTGGGAGCAGTTTCAGACCGGCATCGCGCGCGAGTGGCTGTACCCGGAGAATTCGGAACTCATCGAGCGTATCCTCCGCGAGATGGCGACACTGCCCATCGTGCACGTCGGTGAGTACAACTTACGCGGTTCCGGCTGCTGGGCTGGTCTAACTACATATTAATAGTCCCGAAAGACGCGATTCGTGTCGCGGGCTCCTCCCATATTGGGACGTCCAGGCTGTGACAAGAGGTGTACTGTCGTAAAAGTCGCCAGTAGCTGGCGTTCCTCAAATAGCTGTAGCGTATAAAGTTTATAGCGGTGTTTAGAACTTGTTGTAGAGCTGTCAGAAAGTCTTTGTTCCTGTCACAAACGAGCGCTGGAACGGCCCTCTGAAGCGCGTCAGAACGGACGGCACCGACCGATCACGCTCCGCGATTCCGTGTCGACCGGTTGTGCCCTCGCGATCTCCGACGACAGTGCAGCTCTGGCCGACTGGATCGGTCCTACGCCACCTCCTGACGCCAGTCGCCGACGAGGACGACAGCGTAGCTCTGGCCGAGTGGATTAGTCGTACACCATCTCCTGTCGCCGACAAGAGCTCTCGCCAGTGGTGCTCCGTCCTCGGACTCCTGCAACCGTGTCCATCTTTCCTGTGTTCTCCTTCCGTCGTTCGCTGTCCCTGCGCCTCACTCTATCCTTCCGCTCTCTCTCTATCTCTCTACCTTTTAATCCTATCCTTTTATTCTGCCCCCATCTCTCGTGAGCTACTGTTGAGGTGTCCTCCCACTGAGAGACAGCTACGGGGCTCGCTTTTCTCTTCCTTTCATTCATAATCACACCCCCCCCCCCCCCCCAACGCCAGCAACGGTCACATCTCCACGGCGTACACAACATCGGCTCCTCCACAAACTGCGCACGCTGTGAAAGCGAGCACCGGGAAAGATCGAGACAATTCGAGAAGATGACGTGGCTGCCTGTGGTCTGAGCAGTAGAACATGCTCGAAGGATCTATAGTACGTTCCCTGGCTTTCGCTGTGCTGTGAACATGCGAGCGGTGGGGAATATTCTTGAACTCGACCGCAGCCTGGTATAAATGGGCAGCGACGGAGAGTCGGTCGGTCGCTGAAGAGCTGCAAGAATAGTGAAATATAACGGGCCGGCGATGGAGGGCACAACAACCAGCGATGGAGGAGTCTCCGTGTCTCCTGGAAGAGCAGCGTTCGGGACTCCTTTCGAGAACTTGTGGATTGGCAAGATTGTTGGATATTTCAAGACCTTACCTGTTCGGAAGATTTTGTAATGCATGAGATTTCATTTGTATAGCGTGATTGGTTTGAGTGTTCCCATTGTCCTAAATACCATCTGAGTAATGTAGTCAGTTGATTATAGCCGAGTGTGCGTGCATGTATATGCGTATGTATAACGATTGTACTGCCTTGAACCAAGGATATATTTTGTTTTTGTTGACAACTCTTGGCTCTGACTCGGTCTTTGGACCACAACCGGCGTTCGCTAGCGCACTAAAGGGACCTAACCTCAATTGCCCAGGCTTTCGTGCTGCGTTTCGGGGGGCCCGTACGTCAGCCCATGGAATCGGCCCGACGATTGCCTTCCCGATCACGGGATTAGTGACAGCTCCGGTATTTCGAATTCTGCGAAAATACGGCACTAGTGCTGCATTAAATGAGAAAAGAATTGAACTTCGTCACGAAAAGTGGCAAGCTTGTTACGACAACAGCGTTTCTCTTTATCCAAAAGCATAATATTTATTCTTATTGAGTTGAAATGTAGAAAACATTTTATTCTTTTTTTGGAACTTCTTACTTAAAGATTAACATTTATAAAACCTACGACTAAACCCCATTCCGACCAAAAAAGTAGAAACTGTGGTGATAGCGCCTTTTTAATCGCCCTGTACATTGTGTTAAAATTTTGTTAAATATCAACATTGTTGTACGGCGACAGGCGTGCGATCTATTGAAGCTGCATGTGCTGGAACAATGAACTCGCGTTATTCCATGGCTACATGTATAGCGGCCTGATAGGTACGCCACTTATTGCGGGAGAATCCTTTCCGCTAACGCCAGAGTACATAAAGAAAATACGTGCCGCACACAACGGGCAGTTCGAACGAGACTATGACATAGCGGAGGAAAGTCTCGAAGATACAAACGATAACGTCAGTCTACGCACAGGCCTGCATCTTCTAACAGATATAGGCTCGGAGCTCATAAATATCGCGTGGGTAGCGCAGAACGCCACTCGCACTTTCTGCCTGAAAGTTCGCAACCCGTGACCTAATGTGTGTGGGGGGGGGGGGGGGGCGGCGCTGGAAGTGAAAGGCATTCTTCGTCTACGCGTAGACATCGGGCAGCCTTGATTGGTCGACGTACCCCGGAGAGGCATTGTTCTGGCTGCCGTCGGCGGGTAGCCCAGTTATAGACGTGCCCAGTGGCACGCTGCAGCATGGCTCATGTGATCGCTCCGCGCGTTCGCGTCTTCGGCCTATTTTGGTCTTCGCCAAGACGTCTTTGGGATGTCCGTCCAATGGCCATTCTTTCTGTTTTTGCGCGAATTTCTTTACCGTCCTGATCGTCTTGTGCTTTTTGTGTGTTTTTTTATTCCTGCTACCGCGCGTGACTGGTACTGTCGATGGCAGATCTTATCCTTGTTTTGTTCATTTTTAGTATTTTTTTTCTTCCTCGGCGCGTTTCCGCGGTATTGTATCGTGCCTCAGAAATGGCCTTTCTCTAAGGTTCGTAGAATACAGGAAATCAAGAACACGAAAAAGATAGACAGAAAGGGCTAGGTGATGTACAGTGTTCCTGACAAGTTCCCATGCCACTGTCACGTGTATTCCTATGGGCCGCGTGGCTTGGGAACTTTTGACGGAACCCGTACCTATAACAACGACAGCAGTGTATCGGTTCGCCCTGGGGACCCTTATTCGCCGTCACAATGGTTCCTTTCGATCGCTTTCTTTTCCGCGATGCCCGTGACGTCCGCATTGTTCGTCCGCCGCTAACGATTAGTGAAGGACGTTCAGCACCGACTCATTCCGCTATTTCTTTCCGACAGCGAGGTTGCGTACGGCTCGCAGGTGGGACAATGTTGCGGTTCGTGAGTGCGCAGAAACCGCAATGAAAAATGCGAGCGTACGCTACGTCGTAGAGTCGCCGCGTTCGTGCTAGTTTCGCCTCGAAATGGCTTTGAAAAGAGGAAAAAAAGGAAGAAAAAAGCGCAGTTCGGTTACTGCCTCTCTCAATGGAGGGAATGAAATGGAATGAAAAGAACTTTATTTAAGTCCTGCAGGACGCGCTTAGCGCGTAGCGGGCGGCTCCCACGTAGGAACCGACAGGGAGTACCTGGCGGCCGCTTCGTGGGCCTGCTGGACGGCCCATTGCTGGTCGGCGAGAAGTGAGCTCCTGACGGACCTCTCCCACTTGCTTGAGGTAGAGTCGGGAGGAGTTGTTCTACACTCCCAGAACATGTGTGCGAGTGTCGCTGTGTGTCCACATGATGGGCATGTGTCGCTGGTGTATGCATCGGGATAATAAACGTGTAGAGGTGCCCTCAATGGACGGCACCTCTACAGTTACGCGCAGGGAAGGGGGAATGGGAATTAAAGAGACAGAAGAGAAGAGGTAAGAGAAGGTTAGAAATGGCATTCGCGCCGCAGCACATAGCGCGCATCCGAAACCACTGCGATGATCCGCAAACATCTGGAAAAGGCGCCGGGAAGGCCGGGGAAATAAATCACCGAAAAAGAAGAGGATCAGCCGAAGAGGCGCATGAAATCACGGGGAAAACACTCGCGTGAGTACAGAGCGCAAGCACGAGAGAAAAAAAATAACACAGAATTATTCCAATTCAACGAGAAGAAAAAGTTAATTCAGTTGAACTCACAGATTAGTGTCCTATTGGCCTCGATGAATTAATCCAACGGGTGCACAGAAGACTGGCCAGGGCGCTCTAGTTTCACTTCATGTACTGCTGGTATATGTATAGGTATATGGATAGTAGCTGCCGCAGCGTGAATGGCTAGCAATAAAAACATTTCGTTCGTCTTAGTGTTCAAAAAGGTTGTAACGTCTCCAAACGTTGAGTTTACGTCTCTTAAATGTGATCAAGAAATAGAAGGCCCCAACAGGGGAAACTTAGATCACAGTTCCTCACGAACGTAAATAAGGGCTGCACGTACGTTTCAGCTTCGTTGGTTAACTATTTGTACGGAGTGGTTGAACGGCCATTTCTTGTAAAGACGATAGTTTTTCTTGATATACTTTAACGCAGGAGCTTTGGTCTGTATGTTTGTATTTCCCACTATTCAGCCACCCCGCTAAAGTATAAGCACTTGCTGAACGCCCAGCCATCTTGAACTGATGGCGGCCTTCGTGCTTGTGAACATTGTCGATAAAATAAACAAATAATATGCGTATATGAAGCTCAACATCAATACATAAATATTATGTTGTGTGTTCCTTTGCCAGAAAATACGTAGACACGTGATTCGAAAGACCCTATAGTGTTTCTTACGCCGCGATATGAATGCGATGCTGTGCCGGCGATATGGTGCTGCCACCTGGCAGTGGCCCTGGGTTCTGCACAAGCTCATGTTTCCCGACGGCACCGCCAGATGGCGTCCATATCTCACGCAGTGTAAAGCCCCTGTACCTTCGGAAGTAGAGAGACTTTAACGCAGTGCCTCTCTCCAAGATAGATCCCGACACATACGCACTACAGTGCAGGTTCTGTGTCACTAAAACAGCCACCATGTACCACATGGTATGGGAATGCCCACACAATCCACCTCCACAACCCAGAGCACAGCACAACACTGTAGGGTGGGAGGCAGCTCTGTCCAGCTCAGGTCCGAAGACCCAAAAGGCCCTCGTGAGACGAGCGAGGACAGCGGCCCCTGCCAATGGGATCCCGGACTAAAGAGCCCACTCACCCACACTCCTTCCTCGGTCGCAAATAAATGTTTCATTCTCTCTCTCTCTCTCGGTCGCAAATAAATGTTTCTCTTCCCCAATGTTATAAATGCCAGCCAGATGCGGCTGATTCAACAGAGATGAGGCGCTGTCTCAGGCAAGGATAAACATAAATGGCCGCTTAGCCGGCAGAA